GGCTTCTTCCTGTGTTTCCTGTCCAGAGACAGATCAGGCGGTCAGGGATCAATTTTGTCAAAGAGTGCAGCAACCAGGACACAGACTGATGCAATTCTCGGCTGCCCCTTCACCCACTGATTCACTGCACCCAGTCTCCTGTCGTTAAAATGACTTTTAATCCAGCTCTGTGATCATTTTAGGTTTTGGGACAGAGTTGACATATAGTTTGTCTTTAATATATTACTTTATCTGTTTACTGGTTTTACAGATGTTTATTTTGAACATGGTCAGTGTTGTTGTTGACATAAATCCTTGTAATATCAGTCTTGTGAGTCTCTCAGCTGAAAACATGCTCATAAAATTAGTGCTTTTATGTTTTTGTGCATGTGAGGTTCTGACCACTGGCTAATCACATGGCAAAAATATTAAGGCATTAATTCACATTAACATGTACACTGATGGAAGGTAGATTCTTCTTCTTTTTCTTCTTCTTCTTCTTCTTCTTCTTCTTATTATTATTATTATTATTATTTATTGTACTATTTTGAAACTGGCAGGTTACAAAAAACCACTTTCCCGTAAGTCAGAAAACTTCCTCATCTTCACTTTTACATGTCGTGTCTTCCCTACCACATGACATAATTTATCATTTTGTTCCTTTCTTTAAAGCTGGCTCACTATCTTCAATACTGATATTGAGTTAAGATTTAGACATCTCATAGCCTACATTCATTTCTGTTGGTTTTTACAGCCCTCCACCTGACAAAATGAACAGTAAACATGAAGAAGACCTCCATAAGTGCAATGTAAAAAGGACCTTTGGTTTGAAGGACATGAACTGATACTAATTAGAGGATATGATCCTTGATCACTGGCTACAAATGTGTGTGTGTGTGTGTATACAACATGTGTGGTTAGGTGGCTTTCTCCATGTGTGTCCCAGGATGTGGGCTCTCCGTCCACCTGTATCTCCACTGACAGCGTCCTCTGCACTCTCCCAGTTCCTCTCTGGATGCCTATTCTCATCTCACCCACACTGATTCTAAACCAGCATGCTCCCCAGAGACACCGCCAACACCTTCAACATGACTGCTTGCATAACACAACCTGTGGTAAATCATAACTTCCCACCAAGTCATTCTTTGCATACGTTTTGTCTCACTCATCTGGCCTGACACTGATGAGGCCTTGAAGTACATTCATACTGTTTAAAGACTTTTTTTAGATGAACAAAGTACCTCAAATTATAACACAAATACCTATGTGTTTAATGAAGATAATTCTTTATTGTTCATATTAAATTCAAGCTGATACACGCAGTGGAAAACAACAACTAAACGGAAGTCAGTGGCCTGCAGCCAAACCCTTGAGAGGACTGAGAAGTCAGCACTATAGATAAATCAGGAAACAACAAAAAACATAAAATAATTCCTTCATCAGGAAAAGCTTTCACTATACACTTATTCCTCTTTTGCTTAATTTCCTTGAAACGTTGCTTTTCACAAAATAGATGCGGCTTCCTATAAGTGTCCGCTGTACAACATCGTAGATTAAAATGTTATGGAGCAGAAATGTTATGGCCATGGTTATGTATGGTAGCAGCACCAGTTCTGTTCAGCTCCTGCCTCTAATGGATTATTGTGGGAAGCCTCCGACACCACAAAAAGATGTTGCAATGGAACCACATTGAAAATGTGAGCAGAAAAGAGACCCTGTTAACAGAAATGCAGACAAGTGTGTGTCTTCTCCTCTTATCATACTCATACTGGGAAACAATTAAATTCTCTAGTTTAAGTGTACAAGTGTCAAATCCACAGTACTATGTTTTGTTTCAAGGTGATATTTTCAAAATTCTACTGTAGTGAAAGTATAGAAATGTTTCCAGGAAACATAATATCAGAAGTAGAAAGACTGGAAAATGATTCTTCCTCAACATCATAACTTTTACTGACTCTTCTCAGCAACATTCACATGATTGGGGAAAAAACACTGATTGGTTCTAAACTGTCCAGTATTTCAATCCTCTAGTCTACAAATATTTCGCAGGTTTGCTGAAAATGTTTACAGTATTTCCTACTGTAATACTGGAGCACAGAGTAGATGTTTCTAGTGAAGTGAAGTGCTTTTGCTGAAGAATTTTGAGTGTTAGCAAATAGGGTTGGTGTTATTCTATATGTTTCTTGTTGTTTAAAAAAAATACTTTAAAAAGGCCAGAAATGAGCAATATATTAGTTCATCTCTCTGTGGCTGTCAACACTAAGTGTATAAAGACTTCAATCTCTAAAAACGGGTATCTAATATATGTTTTTTTTAATGTTAAATACAGTGCATGTGCTGGGGAGTATTTTAAGTATTTACAGGTGTAAAACCAATGATGGAAGAAGTACTCCGATCCCTTACTTAAGTAAAAGTAGCGATGTCACAGTGTAAATATACTCTGTTACAAACAAAAGTCCTGAATTTAGAAAGTTTAGCATAAAAACATTTTTAAAGTACTAAAAGTAAAAACATTTATTATGCAAAATGGCACACATTAATGTGTATAAATGATTGGATTATAATTACTGATGTATTATTGTGTTCATTATGTTTAATGTTGCACCTGTAATGGTGGAGCTAGTTTTAATGAGCTTATATGCTTATAATTTGAAGTACTTCATATACTGTAGCTTGTGAATGTTCTTTTGGAGAGCAATAAAGTCTTGATTATACTATATTTTTTCTATTAAGCTGGTTCTGAAAAGTAACTAAAGTTATAAAAAAAATAAATGTAGTGGAGTAAAAAGTATAATAACTGCCTCTTAAATGTAGTGAAGTCAAAGTATGAAGTAGCACAAAATGAAAATACCCAAAGTACAGATACCTCAGAATTGTACAATACTTGAGTAACTAGACTTAGTTTCTTTCCACTACTGTGTAAAACTATGAGGACTATACAACAAAATAAATCCATAACAGAGTAATTCACTTTCACTATTCATCCAATTCCCAGTGGCAAACTGGGAGAACAATTTTCAGTCAATCCAATTAGGCTCAAAACAGGTGAAATCTTTCATCTGTGTTTGTTCCCCTAAGATATTCCTTATTCAAAGGCCTGTGCAGTAGTTATAGCCCAGATTACATGGAATATAGTGTATGTGTTGCATAAATACATTATTTTAATCCAGTCTCACACATTCTATTTGAGTAGGTGGGGGTAGTCGGTTTCCTGTGACAGTTTTGAAGTTAGTTCCTGTTCTGTGGAACTTAGGCAGAACTCCCCCATATAGATAACCACATACACACACGAATACACCAACATACCACCATGCACACACACAATATTCCACCTGTGTTTTTATTCAGTGAACCATTTATTAACAATTCTAAATTAAGTAAAAGGTTTTATCCAGAGATATCATATGAGCAGCACATGACTGCTGTCACTGGGTGGTGTTTGAGTGAGTCATTATAACAAAACTATTTTTTCATAAATGAAAAAAAAAACTGATTGAGCTGCCCAACCTAGTGTTATTATTCCATTTTAAAGGACCTTATAATGTGTTATTTTGGCATGGTTTTGTTTTTTTGTTTTTATTTAAGTATTAAGGCCATTTTCACTGATAGTCAGACCGTCTTTGGATTTCACCTTGTAACAGTGGTACTGTATAGCCTACAGTGATTTACAGTACATGTGGAAACAATTATAATGACCATTAGAAACCCACACCTTTTGTTTCGAGGAACTGAAAATGTTTCTTTGTGTTTGTTTGCGTGTATGTCTACAGAATACTTCAATCCAAACAAATAGCGTGAAATTCCCTACCATTATTACCACCATGTACGCAGTTTGATGATATCATTCACTGCCCCATGGTGTTAAATGATATGGCTGTTGGAGGATAGGAAATAATGAAGAAAAAGGGACGCTGTTGACTCACTGTGACTCATTTGGCACCAGTTGGTCACTTCTCTCCCTTTCTCTGGTACTCATCAGGGAGCTAGAGAGGGCCTTGTCCAAGGGTTTCCCTGTCTTAGCTAGCCCAGATCCTTCTTTTAGTTTCATACACTGTTCAGTTTCATCACCCCTAAGCTGGATTAGAAAGTAATATGTACTTATAGTAAATGATAGTCTCAGTAATGGAGAAGTTCCCTCTAATTGGCGGAGTACCTTTTTCTTATGATGATTTTCATTCTTTAGTAATTGCTCATCTTCTGAGAAAATGTTTCATATCTGCAGGAATTGTAGAATAATGTGGAGCTTTAACCTTCTCACCCACACTGACATTTGTGTTTTGTGCAGCCATGCATTGTTCAAACCACAAGATTCATATTTTAAATGTTACACAAGAACCCATAAAAATCTATGTTGACTCTATATGACATATACCACTTTTTCTCTGGATCTGAATTATATGGACTGAATTATGGGGAGATGTGGATGAAATTATGCATAAGGCATCTAGAACTTTGTATCTGATGCATGTGCTGCGAGCATTGCAGCAGTATAGTAGATTTGTTTCATCCATCAAGCGTGATTGCTAATCACTCAAGCATTGAAACAAGCACAAAGAAAATACACTGTAAACCTTGTGCAAAATTACTTGTTTTTAAATTCTGTTATTTCCTGTCAGACATGCACCAATGGTTTGTTTTTATTTCAGTAAAGTTTTATGGTCATGTTACAGAGACTGGCATGGCAACTTTTGCTGGTGTCAGAGGGACAGTGTGTTTTTCTTGTATGGTTATGCAGAGTCAAGTTAATAAGTTAATTTTATTTAGATTTACAGTATGAAATGAACAATTTACACTATATATAATTTGTAGTTAGTAAAATATGATGCTCTGATCCTTCTAGGGGAACATTAACATTTTAAAGTCTAACGTGGCCCATCAGCTAAATTTAGCAGTTACCATAAGTTTGTATTGGTCACTTTTGCAGTAATTCACCAATCAAAATTAACATTCCTTAAATGTGATCATATAAAGACAAGCATGCTTACAGTTCAGTAAAAACTTGGCTTTATTAGAAATGCAATTTATAAAAAAAATCACAAGTTCAATGTAAAAAAGTCTGATAGTAAAACCTATCAAATAATGCCACATTGCATCTAAATTCCATACAGTTTTATTAAGTGATATAAAGATTGTATTATTTATTGTATAATAGAAGAATATTTGAGAAAGGTTCCATTTGGCCTGTTTCATGCAAATGTTCATCACATAAGGAACCATCTCAATTGCAAAACCAACACTGAGAACTAAGTTGCCTACATACAGTATATAAACTGTTGTCATACTTCAATGAGGCTTTCAGTAGGATTATCTAAAGATAAAAATGATTTGCTGATTTAGTCATCAGAATGAACCTGATGAGTTGTGTGTAATATATGACATATACCACTTTTTCTCTGGATCTGAATTAAAAAAAACTCTTGTAATGATAAAACAGAGATTAGACACAGAGTTTGCATTGGCGCTGTACAAATATAAACATAAATGACAGAAAATATTAGGGACATCTTAAAATTGAGATGCAGCTTAATTAATAGTCTTACTGTAGAAATTCAAAACACTTATACGAATGAATCTTGTCAGTGTTTGTCAGGGATATCCCTAACATGTTGCACACTCAGTAAATTGTTCTGAGTGTAAATTCAGAAGAACTCCTGTCAGGTGTGTTGCTTCTCACAGTTCAGGCGGTGATGGGCATGTTGTCCCTGTAGCAGGCTGGTCTCTGGGGGCCACTGTAGCTGCACAAGTCCTGGTAGATGCGGGCCATCTGGTCAGTGGCCGCATCATCAGACATCTCCAGGTTTGAGTTGTTGCAGTAAGGTTGAGAGCGGCGCATGTTCACTGCCTCCAGCAGGTGCTGGCAGTTCACCACAGTGATCTGCTCCAGGGGAGAGGAGACAGAACAATGTGTTTTATTGTCAACATACTGCATTTGTAATAATTACAGTTTTTGTGTCCTGGGAAAGTTTCAAGACACAGACTTCAAGGTTGATTTTATGTTCCTCTGTCATTCAGCTGTTTAAGTGAAACACATGTTATGACTTCACTGGTCTCACCTGCACAATAATCAGTTTGCTCTTAGCATTGCTGAGATCATGGAGCTCTTCTCCAAAACACAGAGTCACTGTTGGATCAGGAGCAGGAAACTGACCCTCCTGGTACAGCTGTAGAGCTAAAATGTACAGATTACATGAACAGCTGTTTAAACAATGTTGCAAGTTATCAATCTTCCACGACTCGGTTGCTTGCTTTAAGCACTGATAAGAAATATATGTGTGTTGCATTAATTTAGACTATTCTTGGCTTTTGGATAGCTGAGGAAACATGGACAATTACCTTGAAGAAACCTTCCTGTGTCAAAAATCTTGACTACAGCATCCCTCTCAAGTTTACAAGGCATGGGGCTATATTGTGAGCCCACTTCCCCAAGCCCGCTCCAGAAGATGCGGCTCTGGCACAGCCTTTTGATGAAGATGCCCTCTTGATTGGCACGGACCAGTACACCTCTCTCCAGGTGGCCAAGGAGTTTTCGAGTGACATGGCGCTGCCGGTCAAACTCAATGAGCTCAGCAGAGGGAAAATGAACAGTCTGCATGCTGTCTGAACTGTAGAGGGCGCCGCGACCTAGGTGCTGTTGTGGGGAGATTCGGCAGCCTTCAGGATGAGTAACCATTGTGTTCTGCATCAGCTTTCCTCCATAGTAGAAATTGATCATGATATGGGAGAAAGCTGGAGAAAAGAACACTTGGTAAGCTTAGGGTCACAAAAATAATGATATAAATGCATATATCCTGCATATCGTTATCCATTTATTTTGTACTGTCTGGGTTTAACTATAGAGCTGATGTTATTATAACGCTTTCTTGGAAAATGTAAATGAATACCTGGGCTGTGACTGCCTAACGGCAAAGGGTCCTGATGCAGTGGGAAAGCTGTGAATTACAGGAGAAAGAGATGAGTTAAGGCGCTTTTTACCACAGTGGACATGACCACACTGTCATGTCATTATTTTGCTGCATCATCAGAAATACCATTTCTCAAAGAAGCAATCACCTTAGTCAGCAAAGTACAACAGGATGTTAGTCAATTTTTCCATTGCAGAATTCAACAGACTAGCAAATAACCTCTGTTTAGCACCCACAGTTGTCACTGAGCTTTCCACTGTGGTTATTTACAAAGACATTAAAGCGCATATGGAGTCTTACTTGAGAGATGAGACGAAAGGCAAAGTTGTGGTCAGACAGACACAGAGCAACAACACTGATGGAACGATGAATGTCTAAATCAGTAAGAGGAATATGTACCGGGTAGGTAGAAAAATAATGTCTTACCATTGATACTGCCTTGGGACCAATACTCTGGACTGGCCTGAATGCTACAGCTTTCTTCCTGCATACATTCAATAACACAATAAGTTGTAATAAAGCATTTTTATACACTTCATAGTCATGAAGATCAAGTGGGAGGGTGTGTGTGCTCCCTGTAACAAGTGTTGGAGGAGACAGCACGGTGTCGTAATCAGAAAAAAGTCACACATAAACTAAGTGGCACTAAAAACAGATGTGACCGGTGGTGAAGGCAGAACTGAGAAATAAAATTAATGTCTTAAAGTGAGACATTATCTTACCTCTTTAATGAGCTCTTCTATTTCTGCAGAGCTACAGTCCATGTCAGTGATGTCAGAGCTAGTGGTAGCTGTCATGGCCATTGCAGGGCTTTTCCCATCTGTGGGTGAAATAATAAAACATTCTG